ACCACTCACATTATGTGTTTTAATAAAGTGGTGGCCAAAATTATGCCAAAAACCTTAAACAATTTTTTTTTGTGTGAATTGTGATTTATTTAGGGGGATGGCTTGGGGACCTCGACACGCAAGATCCCTTTGGCTCAGAAGGGATATAAAGGGAGCCAAGGCTAGCCCTACTCAGAGCAGAACCACTGAAATTAATAAATTTAAGTTCGCCATTACAAAGAGCTTTGACGGGTCTGTTGTGAGTAGGAACAGTATTGCCTGCAAGCATCACTATTGCATGTCAGGATTAAGCAAAATGTGCAAGAAAACTCTGGGTGTGGGCTGGCCCTTAAGTCACAGAATTCAAAGTCTACAGATAGCTGAAGAGATCTACACATTAGCTCAGAGGAGGGCTGTTTTTCTTAACCCTCTTGCAAGTCTGATTTGCACAACATTTGGCCAATGCACCGCTAGTCACGGAAAAGAACTCATTGCAACGGGACTTGCAGAGATCTCTCTGCCCACCAGAGCGCAGTGTGGCCTTGTGTTTATGGAGGAAAGTTCAGTGTTCTCAGACGCCTCAGACAAATAGAGAACAAGGTTGAAAGCAACACAGGGAGCGCAACTTGAACATTTCTGCTTCCCTACATCTCCTCCTGAAAATGTACCCTGTGATAAAGATGTTTGCTGTTTTTCTCAGCGAGAAGTTGAGTCCTTTAAAACTTGAAAGGACTCGAGCTTACATAGAGATCCTGACCAGTGGGGGGATGAGAAGAAGAAGAAGAAGAAGAAGAAGAAGAAGAAGAAGAAGAAGAAGAAGAAAGAATTAATTAATAAATTACCTATACCTTGCCCATCCGGCTGGGTTTCCCCAGCCACTCTGGCCAGCTCCCAACAGATTAAAAACAGAATAAAACATCTAACATTAAAAACTTCCCCAAACAGGGCTGCCTTCAGATGTTTTCTAAAAGTCAGATTGTTGTTTATTTCCTTGACATCTGGTGGGAGGGCGTTCCACAGGGCAGGCGCCACCACCGAGAAGGCCCTCTGCCTGGTTCCCTGTAACCTCATGTCTCTCAGTGAGGGAACTGCCAGAAGACCCTTGGCGCTGGACCTCAATGTCTGGGCTGAATGATGGAGGTGGAGATGCTCCTTCTGGTATACTGGGCCAAGGCCATTTAGGGATTTAAAGGTCAGCACCAACACATTGAATTGTGCTCAGAAATGTACTGGGAGCTAATGTATGATCTTGACATGCAGCACCTCCCTTTGCTATTGGATTTGCAACTTCCATCAGCCCCAGATAGCATGGAGGGCTGGAGCTACTCACCTGGATAACATCTGCAAGGCTGCAGGTGAATTTATGGTCTTTGTGGAAGCCGCCCAGAGTGGCTGGGAAAACCCAGCCAGATGGGCAGGGTACTAATAAATTATTATTATTATTATTATTATTATTATTATTATTATTATTATTATTCCTGCCTGAGGACGGACATGCGATCTGCAGATGCCCAGGAACACGTCACAGCTCCCATACGTTTGGAATGATCTCTGCAATAATTTGTCCATATCAGCACAACTTCTTCAAACAAAACTGAAGGTGTTTCGTTGCTCCCAGAGGGTCTTGCTTAGGAAATTGCTGCTTTCCCCATGCATGGTCCTGGATTTCAGCCATTTTATTATTGCCATTTTATTGTTGTTGTTGTTGTTGTTGTTGTTGTATTGCTTGCAAGCATCACTATTGCGTGTCAGGATGAAGCAAAATGTGCAAGAAAACCCTGGGCACGGGCTAGCCCTTGAGTCACAGAATTCAAAGTCCTGGTATGTCCCATGGAGGACCTTACGGTCTCCAAACAAAAACACCTTAGAGGTCCCGGGCCACAGGGAGGTTAGGCTGGCCACAACCAGAGTCAGGGCTTTTTCGGCTGTGGCCCCGATCTGGTGGGACGCTCTGTCACAAGAGACTAGGGCCCTGCGGGACTTGACATCTTTCTGCAGGGCCTGCAAGACAGCTGTTCCACCAGGCCTTTGGTCAGGGCACAGCCTGACCCCCTCCTTTGGCAATCCTCACAGAACTCTAGCCCAATGGTTGCCATTAATTTGATTTGAACTGATTTTATAATGAATTGATTTTAGAATGCTGTATTATTTTACTGTTGTTAGCCCCTCTGAGCCCAGCTTTGGCTGGGGAGGGCGGGATATAAATAAATTTTTTTTTTAAAAAAATATTATTATTATTATTTTATTTTAAGAGATCAAGGGAGGTGTTCATGGTGAGCTCTAGCACCTTTTTTTCTAGAGAAATAGCACAGCTCAACACCTTGCCAAAGTACAACCCCAAGGAATCCTCATTTGTTGTCTGAGAGAGGGAGGAGTGTGTGTTTTTGTGACTAAAGCAACAGGCTCAACCAACCAAATTTTATTGCCCTAAGTGCATCTGATTTTGTTCCTAACATAAAATTTATTGTCATTTTAGGGGTAAAGGTAAAGGTAAAGGGACCCCTGGCCATTAGGTCCAGTCGTGACCAACTCTGGGGTTGCGGCGCACATCTCTCTTTATTGGCCAAGGGAGCCGGCGTACAGCTTCTGGGTCATGTGGCCAGCATGACTAAGCCGCTTCTGGCGAACCAGAGCAGCGCACAGAAACGCCGTTTACCTTCCCACTGGAGTGGTACCTATATATCTATTTGCACTTTGATGTGCTTTCGAACTGCTAGGTTGGCAGGAGCAGGGACCGAGCAACGGGAGCTCACCCCGTCGCGGGGATTCGAACCGCCAACCTTCTGTTCAGCAAGTCCTAGGCTCTGTGGTTTAACCCACAGCGCCACCCGCATCCCTAATTTCAGCAGACAAGAAGGCAAATGTATCAATAAAACTAAGGATAATTAACCTCTTGGAGAGCTCTTTAACACAACTTTAGGGGGTGGGGAACAGATAAATTCTTAGTCAATATTGCATGCCATATTTTTGGTTGTTTTACACACAAGTAAAATGTCTGTTTGAAAAACTATTGCCAGGTAATGAAACTTAATGAAAAATCATCTTTAGAATGATACAGACTTATATATGAAAATAAAAGAGTCTGTAGGTTGACATTTTCATAGAATTGCCCTGCTAGCAAAATATAAGACTTTCACTTCTGAGTGCTTCTGTAGCTGCACCAAATGCTTGTTGTGTGAATGCCAAAACCCAATACTCTCTAAAATCCGATTAAAAGGAGACACATCACTTAGCGAGATAAATTTTATTGTTTGACTTTTATGTACTTAAACATAGAGTAACAAAAAAACAAAACCCAATCACTTTAAATATAATCACATTCTAGCGGGATTGTGAATTAAAAAAACAACAACAGATTACAGGAAACAGCAACAGTCTGCTAGAAGATATAATAGCACGTTTTTGTTTTTTCAAATTGCCTTCATTTATGCTAACAAGTGAATTGCCACATTATTCTTCCGTGGTTCTAATCATATTGCAATACCTGCTCCAGCAGTATTTTAAATATATTTCGATTCTGCTAGAAAGCAAGTGGCCAGGCTTCTGAAAACAGGCTCAACCAAGAAAGGCAAAACCTGAGAATTTTGGGAACTGTGTTTATGGAAAGGAGAGACCTGCATTTCAAAACACAGAATGACAGAGAAAAATGGAAGGGGTGGAGGAAAGATATAGGGCTACAATGGCACATGTGGAATACGCAAGCAGAACTGGGGCACTGAACCCACCCTCCATCTCTACTTTTCTGCTTGACCCCCAACCCAATCAGATTTTCTTCCAACCACACGGTGGGACAACAGTTGCCACTTCAGGCGAACCTCCCTGCAACCACCCACATAGTTTATCACAATTTTGCATTTCTGAAAATCTCGCACAGTTCATACTAACGCCGTGTTAAGATATCCTGAGGATCTGCAGAAGTCTCCCTGAGTCTCACCTAAAGCTACAATTTTGCGGAGAGGTGGAGTTAGAATCATAGAGCTGGAGAGAGAGAGAGGCAGATTTTCAGAAATGCAAGCCCAGTCTAATTTACGGCTCCGACAAGATTGGGGGTCTCCCCAGCGGTGGAGCAAGCCGATTGGGCGGTGCGTGTGCCATGCATCCAGGGGCAGGACCAGCTGCCATGGGGGTGGGGCCAGCCGGGGCAGGACACTCCGGGGGGCACTGAGGCGTCTGTCTGCCTGCCTCCTCCCACTCAACCGCCCTACAGCTGAGGGGGAGGAGGTGGGCGGACCGTTTGGGGTGTGATGGCCTGGGATTCGGACTCGGAGGCTGAACCTGAGGAATCCCAGCCTGCACAGGAGTCCCCGCCTCCAGAACCAGCTGAGCCGGGGCAGGGGCCTGAGCCTGGAGGGTCCTCACCTGTGCTGGATCCTCAGATGCAGGCAACAGCTGAGTCTGCTCCGACCCCTGAGGTGATGGAGGACCCATTGCCTGCAGGTGCTCCACTCTCAGCCCCGTCAGGGGAAGCTGAGGTTGCCTCTGGGTCCAGTAACCCTCTAGCCTCTCCTGAGCTGCAGAGGCTCAGGGCAGAGAGGCAGAGGGAACTAAGTTCCCGCAGGAGGAGTGCTCACCTCCAGGCCAGGAGAGGCGAGTCACCTGTGGACCGGGGCCGCCCTATGCCTTGGGGCAGATAAAAGCCGGCCAGTCCCAGGTTGTGGGAGCAACGTTGTTGCTAGCCTGTTCTTGCCTGCACCCTGTCCTGCTCTTCTGTCAGAGTTCCTGGCCTCGCCTGACTCCCTGCCTTGGACCCAGCTACAGCTTTGACGGACAGCCTCCATACCACACCATCGAGCTCAGACTGGACTCGGACCTCGCCTCTCGGTTAGCCCCTGGGACCAGCACATGGGGCAGCATGGAACCTGTGGCCGCCCAAGCCACCGTGTCGCTCCCAGGAGAGACTGCAGGCCCCGCGGTGAGTGCCACCCAGCATTTTGTCACCCCCCTCAGTGGGGTGGCGCACCCCCACTGCACCTCCCTTCCTCCGCCCCTGGGTCTCCCCCTCCCACCATTTCCTTGGGCAGACAGAATTTGAAAAGCAGAGAGGGAAAGTGTCAAGCTTCACATTTGGGACTGGCCGGGGCACCATCCATCCTTTTGCCTTCCGAGGCCATCACAGACGTCGGTTCGCAGCAGCAGCAGCAGCAGACTTTTGAGTTCCTGCAATTGAATTGTAAATAAAAAAAAGAAATGGAATATGGTTAAAATCACAAAAGCGCGTTTTCTGTGCTGACACAGCCCTGCGGAACTTGTGACCCCCAGCCAAGGTGAACAGCGAGGCTGAGGATCAGTAAACTTCCTCTTTTCTTTTTGCGGCAGGCCTGTGGGCAAGAATCCAGTAATACTGTGGTCAGCTTGGCGGCCTGCACATTCTGCAGGCTGCTTATTTTAAAGATAGGGAAATTCCATTCTAGGGCCAAAGTGCATGCTATCCGAAATGCATCCTTTATCAGCACTGGAAGGGGGCAGGGGCATCTCCAAGTAGGAGAGCAGAGAATGATTGCTGCCTGGGACCTTGAGGTCCAGTGCTGAGGGCCTTCTGACGGTTCCCTCGCTGCGAGAAGCCAAGTTACAGGGAACCAGGCAGAGGGCCTTCTCGGTAGTGGCGCCCTCCCTGTGGAACGCCCTCCCACCAGATGTCAAAGAGAACAACAACTACCAGTCTTTTAGAAGACATCTGAAGGCAGCCCTATTTAGGGAAGCTTTTAATGTTTGATATGTTATTGTATTTTAGTGTCCTGTGTTCTGTTGGAAGCCGCCCAGAGTGGCTGGGGAAACCCAGACAGATGGGTGGGGTATAAATAATAAATATAATTATTATTATTATTATTATTATTATTATTATTATTATTATTATTGAATGTTGCTTCCAGGCTGTTAGAGAATGCTGGGCCGGCTAGACAGACCAGTTCGCAGGCTCAAAGGCAGCCAGGGAGGGGAATGTCTATTGGAACTTACGTACCTTTAACTATCTTCACTAAATTCTGCACCCATTTTACTTCGGGATTGACGCATACTTTGGTTCCTTTCTCCCTGATTGTGATTCTGGAAAACAAGCAAAGTAGAAAGAATTCGGAATTAGCAGTTTTGTGCAAAGCAGGCAAGCTGAACTGGAAGCCTCATCAAGAAACCTTTGAGAGGAGACTGCTTGATGGCCACAGAGACCAATCTCCAGCCCCCTGCTCACCCACCTATTTGTCTAACCAGTTTTGTGTTTCCTTCTATGATAACAAGGAAGGACAACTTGCAGCCTGCACCCAGGAACAACAATGCAAGTACAGCAGCACCTGCAATTGCCACTCTACATTTTTTCAGGCATCTAGTTACTATTTTGACTTTGAAAACCAGCATCTGCGCAGTCAAGTTGGAAGGGACGCTGGTGGTCATCTAGTCCAACCCCCTGCGATGCAGGAATGTCATTCACACAATGCCCCTTTACATGTGTGTTGCATAATGCGTGAACATCTCTTGTAATCAAAATGACCTTAAGGAGGCCAAATGGGGAGGTCAGTTAGGACCACATAGGCCAGAGGTTTCCCACCTTAAGCATAATACTGCACATGCCAGAGTGATATTTAATGGCAAGTAATGTGGATAGCAGGACGCGGGTGGCGCTGTGGGTTAAACCACAGAGCCTAGGACTTGCCAATCAGAAGGTCGGCGGTTTGAATCCCCGCGACAGGGTGAGCTCCCGTTGCTCGGTCCCAGCTCCTGCCCACCTAGCAGTTTGAAAGCACGTCAAAGTGCAAGTAGATAAATACGATATTTTTTGCTCTATAAGACTCACTTTTTCCCTCCTAAAAAGTAAGGGGAGATGTGTGTGTGTCTTATGGGGCGAATGCAGGCTGCACAGCTATCCCAGAAGCCAGAACAGCAAGAGGGATTGCTGCTTTCACTGCGCAGCGATCCCTCTTGCTGTTCTGGCTTCTGAGATTCAGAATATTTTTTTTCTTGTTTTCCTCCTCCAAAAACTAGGTGCGTCTTGTGGTCTGGTGTGTCTTATAGAGCGAAAAATACGGTAGGTGCTGCTCCGGCGGGAAGGTAAACGGCATTTCCATGCGCTGCTCTGGTTTGCCAGAAGCGGCTTAGTCATGCTGGCCACATGAGCCGGAAGCTGTACGCTGGCTCCCTCGGCTAATAAAGCGAGATGAGCGCCGCAACCCCAGAGTCGGCCACGACTGGACCTAATGGTCAGGAGTCCCTTTACCTTTAATGCAGATAGCATCACACTTCCCAGCATGTGCTGAGAAGCAGGAGCGTGTGAACACAAAAAAATACACAAGAGATGGCAAGGATAACGGCCAAACAAAATTATGGAAATATGCAACAGGGGATGTCAGGATGTGATTCATAGAAGTGAAAGGACCACGAGGGTCGTTTAGTCGAACCCCCTGCAATTTAGGAATCTTTTGCCCAACGTGGGGCTCAAACCCACAGCCCTGAGATTGAGAGTCTCATGCTCTACTGACTGAGCCATCACAGCGCAGGAATTGCCTGTCTGCAAAGAGGGAATCTGCAAATGAGGGAATAAGACCCACTGAAGAGAGTGAGGCTTACTTCCAGGTAAACCTGCGAAGAATTGCGCTTTTAAGTGTCAGTGAACTTAACCCATTGGGCTTAACCACAAATAACTTTAGCATGTTCTTTTTATATACAGAACCCTTACACAGGGCTTGTTTCCACACCAGAAGACAGAAATCAGTTGAAAGATGGGGGTGGGGAAGTAATTAGATATGTTACGATTGCCATAACAGTGAAAATCAGGGCAGAAAAGTTGTTGAACTTTTTCTGGCAAAGTTATTCAGCCGTTTTGCCCAAAGTCATTGAGCTATTTTTTTTTTGTTTGATGTATTTTTTTAAGAAAACATAGGTTGCCATGCCTCCAGATTTTCCCAGACATTTTTAAGCGATTTCTGCCCAGGCACTGCTTCCAACTGCAGCATTCTGGAGAGGTTGGGAGTGTGTGGAATTCCGGACGTATGGCAACCCTAAGTGATGTAGGAAATGTGGAAGTTATTTTGGATCTCTGCTATGATGGTCATGCATGACTGAGGTCACTTACATTACTTCCATCTTGTTGCAGGCGCTTCCGGGCGGAAAAATACTGACACTTTCGTATTGAGAAGGAGGGATGAATCTGGACCTTACTTTTGCACATTTGCAGCCTATGGTCGGGTCAAAGATAGCTGTGGGCAGAAGATACAGCGATTGAAAATTTGAGGAATCTCTAAGCAGACATAAAGGCATTTTGAAGCACCTGGGACTTTGAAGAGCTGCTTACTGAGAACAGCATCTCTACATTGTTTAGCACTAATCCTATAGTTTCTCACTGATTTATTGGGAAGGGAGCCAAAGGCTGCCAATATAATGATAATAATAATAATAATAATAATAATAATAATAATAATAATAATATTATTTATTAATACCCCACCCATCTGGCTGGGTTTCCCCAGGCACTCAATAGTCTATTAAACATTAAGGGACGCGGGTGGCGCTGTGGGTTAAACCACAGAGCCTAGGACTTGCTGATCAGAAGGTCGGTGGTTCGAATCCCCGCGACGGGGTAAGCTCCCATTGCTTGGTGCCTGCTCCTGCCAACCTAGCATTTCAAAAGCATGCCAAAGTGCAAGTAGATAAATAGGTACCACTCCGGCGGGAAGGTAAACGGTGTTTCCGTGCAGTGCTCTGGTTCGCCAGAAGCGGCTTAGTCCTGCTGGCCACATGACCCGGAAGCTGTACTCGGCCAATAAAGCTCCCTCGGCCAATAAATCGAGATGAGCGCTGCAACCCCAGAGTCGGCCACGACTGGACCTAATGGTCAGGGGTCCCTTTACCTTTATTAAACATTAAAAGCTTCCCTAAACAGGGCTGCCTTCAGATGTCTTCTAAAAGTCTGATAGTTGTTTTTCTTTTTGACATCTGGTGGGAGGGCGTTCCACAGGGCGGGTGCCACTACCAAGAAGGCCCTCTGCCTGGTTCCCTGTAACTTGGCTTCTCACAGCGAGGGAACCACCAGAAGGCCCTCGGAGCTGGACCTCAGTGTCCGGGTAGAATGATGGAGGTGGAGAAAACCAGGAGAAGGGCAAATGCTCTAGAGGAGGCACAATATTACAGTCAGTGTTTGCTGCTTCCTTCCACCTCACTCGATAGGTCTGGTCTTTAGTTTCTGAGCGAGCAAGCAAGCAGTTGTGGGGGCAGCCCTGTCCCACCTGAAACTCTCTGGAGGAAAGGCGGTATAGAAATGTAAAAGTAAATAACATTTCTGGCAGGTTCAGAATTCTGCCCACCTCAAAGAGAAAGGGTGGCTACTGTCTCTCAGGCCCAGCACTCCCTCACAAGATTGTTGTGAGGCAAAGAATCGAGCTCTGCGGACCAAAGGGAGGCAGGGAAACAAAAGACAAAAGCAGTTTGCTTTATAAATTTGATGGTTTCCGTAAATTGGCCAGAGGACCTTGGTTACTGGGCAGTATAGAAATACATTAAACGAATCGAAGGGGTAAACTTAAGACTGTAATCATGAATGACCGATCAGAGGGGGAAAGCAGGAGAAGAAAACCCCACGATGGTACTTACCTGCGTAGCTGATGTGGCAGGTAAGAAGCAGGGCAAACATCAGAGCCAGGAAGCGGGATCCCATTCTTTAATTCGGTTGTCAGCTGCACACTCAGCAAAGGGAGAACTCAGCCTTCAGCGCTTGCCGGGATGCAGTTTTGGTGGCCAAGACGGGCTCTATTTATTCCATAGAGCCGGCCTCTACATCATCAGCCAAGGGGCTATTTTTAGAAATCATATACGCAAAGTTGCATCATAGTCCACTTCCCACCCTCTGCCTTAGAATTTGCATTGCTGAATTGGCAATTTGAAGCACAGAAAACTTCCAAAAAAACAATGTCCTTTCTCACTTCTCCTTTCCATTACAGGTCTTGCCACCTTCTTTTTCAAGATTCCATCGCTTCTGTCTTCTCTTTGCTTCAGTAATTTATTTTATTTTGCTGCTGCTGCTGTTCTTCTGTCGTCTCTTTTTTCTAGGCACCCCATGGTACGAAGGCAGCCTCTGCACATTTGAAACACTACTCTGCCTCTTTAAACAGCCGTCGTTTCCCTGCCAGGAATCCTGGGAACTGTATTTTGTTCAGGGTGCTGAGAGATGTTAAGACACCCCTAGGACCCTCGTACCTACGGGACCACCTCTCCTGGTATGCCCCATGGAGGACCTTAAGGTCCACAAATGACAACACTTCGGAGGTCCCAAGTCGCAAGGTGGTTAGATTGGTCTCAACTAGGGCCAGGGCCTTTTCAGTACTGGCCCCGACTTGGCGGAACGCTCTGCCACAAGAGACTAGGGCCCTGCGGGGCTTGACATCTTTCCGCAGGGCCTGCAAGACAGAGCTGTTCCACCAGGCCTTTGGTTTGGACTCAGTCTGACCCTTATGTTTCCCTCCCCTTATGGTCTTGATTTATCGGCTACTTTAAAATGAGGCTGCATTTTAAATTGCATTTTAACCTGCATTTTCATTTTTTGTTTTGTTTTTGTTTTGTTTTGTTTTCTCTCTTTCCCCCTATTATGCTTTTACTGTGATTTTATTGGTGTTAGCTGCCCTGAGGAGGGCCAGGGAGGGCAGGGTATAAATAAAATTTATTATTATTATTATTATTATTATTATTATTATTATTATTATTACTACTATTACTTCTCTCCCAGAGCTACAGCACTCAGATTGGCTTCCCAAATCAATCCCTCTTCACAGGAACCTCCATAAGAACTGTAGCTCTTTGAGGGCAACAATGTTTTCCGAACAGCAGTCAGCACCCTTAGCAAACCGCAGTTCCCATAATGCTTTGGAGGGGGGAGCCATGACTGTTTAAACTGGCATGAGCCTGCTTTTATAAATGTCTCATGTAGACGGAGCCCAAGAGATTCCAACTGAACGTTAGGAAGAACTTCCTGAGCTGTTTGACAGTGGAATGGGCTCCCTCAGAAAATGGTGGACTCTCCTTCCTTGGAGGTTTCTAAAGAGAGGTTGGATGGCTGTCTTGTCCAGGATTTTTTGGCTGTGATTTCTGCACTGAAGGGGGTAGGACTTGATGAGCTTTGGGGGTCCCTTCTGACTCTACATTCCTATGATTCTATGATTAGTGAGTAGCATCCAAACCTGAGGTGGGAAGAAAAGAAACACAAATAAGTGACAGGAGTAGGACTCTGGCAGAGACACATGCCCGACTGGCATGTTCTCTCCCTCCTGGTCAATCGTTCGGGAGCTTCATAAGCTTTCTTCAGCCCAAACATCACAGCGACCAATGCCAACAGACACCAGCACACTTAGGGATCCACAGAGTTTGTGCATTTCACGTGACAGAACTCAGCATTTTGGCTAATCTAATTTATTTACATATAAACACACACAGAGCACTGCAACCTGGCTCCCTCTCTCTCTAGCATCAGACAGCAAAGAGAAAAAGAACAAAGGACAATAGTCCCACTTCATGGAACACAGTAACACAGACATCCTGTCTCCGTCACTTCCCACTTTGTGGAGTCAAAACATACACCGTCATGTGATAGACAAAAATCCCATGACTGCAATCATGGAGCAGGAATTCTAACAACAAGTAGCAAGGGGAAAATGACAGCCTATTCAAGCAGCTCCTGTGATTCTTCCTCTAAGTTCCCTCTGTGTGCTCTCTGTCTCTCTCTCATGGTTGCAAAACAGTCTGAAACCTCCCTTCTGCTAGTATTGTCTTCTTCTTCTTTGGCGATCCCTCGTAGCTGAGTAAGATTGTCTTCCATAAACACGGTTTTAACAGTGAGTCCATATGTGACTGTGGAGGCCAATTCTGGATCCACGTGTCCTTCCCCAGTGGGGACATAGGTTTCCAGGTGGGAGTTGATCACGGTGTGGATTTGTCAAGTGTGCCTTCCTCTTAGCACATTTCTCCCTTTCATCCTGAGTTTGAGAGTCTTCAAAGTCCATGACAGCTTTGGTAAAGGCTGTTCTCCAATTGGAGCGCTCGCAGGCCAGTGTTTCCCAGTTGTTGGTGTTTATACTACATTTTTAAAATTTGCCTTGAGAGAGTCTTTGAACCTCTTTTTTGACTACCAGCATTACACTTTCCATTTTTAAGTTCAGAATAGAGTGGTTTCTTTGGAAGACGATCATCAGGCATCCGCACAACATGACCAGTCCAACGAAGTTGATGTTGAAGAATCATTGCTCCTCACAGAGCAACAATTCCCAGAGTTCCCTGTTAAACTACTTTGGGAACTGTAGCTGTGCAGGAAGAATAGGGATCAAAGTGCCTGTAGACCAGGAATGGCTGGCCTGTGGTCCTTCAGAACCCATCAGCCCAAGCAAACATGGCCAATAGTCAGGGCCGATGAGCAGTTGCAGTCCATAAACATCAGAAGGGTTGCAGTTCTCTGCTGCCACTGGCATGATCCTCAGGAGCAATGGGGACAGTCCTCTACCTCGCCCGAAGACATGGTTTGACTTCCCGAGGGCAACAATTATAGCCCGATCCTGCCAAGAAAGGAGGAAAGGAGACCAGAAGCGCTGCTGTTGCATCTTAAGCCACCAGATCGCAGCACAGAGCAAGACAGTGGCAGCCCCTTAGTTAAATACGTTAAGTTACATTAATTGGAAATAGCTTGCAAGTACTAGATTGGCTAGGGACGCGGGTGGCACTGTGGGTTAAACCACAGAGCCTAGGACTTGCCGATCAGAAGGTCGGCGGTTTGAATCCCTGTGACAGGGTAAGCTCCCGTTGCTCGGTCCCAGCTCCTGCCAACCTAGCAGTTCGAAAGCACGTCAAAGTGCAAGTGGATAAATAGGTACTGCTCCAGTGGGAAGGTAAACAGTGTTTCCGTGCGTTGCTCTGGTTCGCCAGAAGTGGCTTAGTCATGCTGGCCACATGACCCGGAAGCAGTACACCGGCTCCCTCGGCCAGTAAAGCGAGATGAGCGCCACAACCCCAGAGTCGGTCACAACTGGACCTAATGGTCAGGGGTCCCTTTACCTTTACTAGATTGGCTTAGGATTTAAATAAGTTAAGGGTTGAATCAATATGTTTAATGTTGAATTGGTAAGATAGAATGATGTTAAGTGTTTAAGTTAAGCTTAGAAGAACTTTGTTTGCAAAACCGTTAAAAGGATGTGCATTGAAATTCAACCAGGGGGACGCGAGGAAGTCACTTAACAATGTTAATAAGATTAATTTTAATAAGGTTATGATTTATGTTTGTTTGTGTGTGTGTTTGCAATTTTGTGAAAACCAATAAAAAAATGGGGGGAGACAGTGGCAGCCCCAACAACCAAGCACATGCTAGGTATCTACCACTCCGTTCTTAAAGGCACAAGGACTACTGTCCTGCATAAAATTACCTGGAGGTAAGCCCCATTACAAGCAAAAGGACTTACTTCCGAGTAAACACATATACCGTTGCATGTATACCAGGGACTTTTTTCAAAGAGGGCCAGATTTGATGAAGTGAACATGCATGAGGTTCTTGAGCTTTTTTAACAATCATCTTACCCCAAAGTTGTTAAACAGACAGGCGGGCTGGATTAGACCCCCAAAACGGATTTTGGACATGCCTGTCTTAATGAGTACCTTTGCAGCAGAAGACATTTAAGGATCTCGGATCCCTGCAAAGAATTCAGTTTGCATCGCCATTTGGGGAGAGTGTGGGGTTCTTTGACATCCACACAAACTCATTGTGTAGTGGGTTCTTTTGTTTAACTTCTAGAGAGTACCTGATCTCAGAGAAAACCACCACAAGAAAGATCCAGTTGCTAGAAGAAAAGAAGGGCAAACTGCAGTGATCCCAAGGACTAGGAAATGATACAGAAGTGTACTAAAGGGGAGAGGAAAACAACATTCTTTAGGGACCCCAATGATTTCTCTTGTCTGATGTCTAAACAACTCACTTGTCAGTCACTGCTCTGACTTGACTCAGTGACTACAAACGAGGAAAGACAGGAGCACCCAGGATGGCTCATGGGCTCAATATTTGTTTGAAGCAAGTGTTACTACTCACATTTTTCATTCTGGTGTTTTAAAAAAATGTTTGGAACATTATCTATCTATCGGTGGGGGGAAAAAGGTTCCCCAAAAGTGGGGTGCAACAGCAGAACAAACCTTCAGACCAAAGACAATAGTTTAAAAGGAAGTTATGCTCTTGCTCTCCCACAATCATTCAGACAAGGGAACTTGCTTTCTTACTGGTCTGGTTTGAATGCATGCATTCTGAAATTGGAAAAAAAAAGCCCCTAAGATGGTTATTGGCAGAGTTAGGGGTCTAATCTGTAAACTGAACCAGCACTTTTTTTCCATTTCCCTTTCTCCTACCCTAATTATTCTCGCAAACAGGGCATTTTGGCATCTTCAATAGAAAAGAGCTCGTCCCCTTCCTCTTTGTCGTGATAACGGCTTTCTTGGGAATGCCCCTCTCTTCAAAAGTTTGCTGCCTCTAAAGAATGTTCATGAGAGGGGATTTACAACCACCATCAAAAGAAATCAGCAGAAAAATGTCTTATCGACAGTTCAAGTGGGGAACAGAAGGTACAGAAAAGTCAGAATTTGTGCTAGAAGCTGGATATATTGTCTCTGATGAATTCAGAAAAATCCTGTGCTTAATAGCTGATGATGATGGCTGGCTGCCTGAATACCAATGACCATGACACTGACTGCTTACATAAAGGTAAAGGTAAAGGGACCCCTGACCATTAGGTCCAGTCGTGACCGACTCTGGGGTTGCGGCGCTCATCTCACTCTATAGGCCGAGGGAGCCGGCGTTTGTCTGTAGACAGCTCCGGGTCATGTGGCCAGCATGACTAAGCCGCTTCTGGTGAACCAGAGCAGCACACGGAAACGCCATTTACCTTCCCGCCAGAGGGGTACTTATTTATCTACTTGACTTTGACGTGCTTTCGAACTGCTAGGTTGGTAGGAGCAGGGACCGAGCAATGGGCGCTCACCCCGTCAAGGGGATTCGAACCGCCGACCTTCTGATCGGCAAGTCCTAGGCTCTGTGGTTTAACCCACAGCGCCACCCGCGTCCCCTTTAAAGCACACCCTCCCTGTTGCACAGCGGTAAATTAATCAAGGCAGAGTCTTCTTCACAAACAGAATAAAACTTTTTCTTGAGAAAAT